CCCCCATCCTTTCCGCCAGTCAGCGCTGGCAGATCGGAGCGGGGAGAGGGGAATCCAGCCCCTCCCCCTGTCACGGCAGAGAGCCGTGACAGGATCGAGAGGCGAGCAAAACCCGGTATGTGTTCGCTCACCTCCCGATCTACTGAGCCGACCTGTGACAGTCTCATTGTCACAGGTCGGCTAGAACTATGAGACGAGTGGAAATCACTCATCTCATAGTTCTCCTTTAATAGCATTTTTAACCCGGAGTTTTTCTTTCGGGTAAAATCTGCAAAGACGACAATCACTGTGAGAAAGTTAGTCAGATAATAGGGAGAAGTTCTAACTTTCTCAGTTTTATTACTCTGTAGGTTTGTTTTTTTCCAGAGATTGTTGTCTTTGCAGATTTTTTCTGAACATTTTTCTACATTTATTCCAGTGGTGGTAAATGTAGCAAATATAGAGGACCTCAAGTGTGGTTCCCAACATGCCAGAAGGGCTAGAAAATAGTTTTGTATTTGTAAATTTGCCCCCAGGGGTGTAGTCATGACAGCTTGGGCCCATAGGAAATGGTTTAGAATATGCTGGCCCTCATTCAACCTGGCAGAAGAGCAACGCTGGACCTTGGAGTGATAAGTCTGTGAGGAACAGCACTGAGGATAAGGTGAGCAAATACAAAAATAGTTGCCACAGCTGTATTCCCTTTATAATTGTAAACAACAATACTTTTCCTTTTTCCTGTGTTGTTTTTGCATATTAATTTGTGTATTTTATTGTTATCAGAGGTAGTTAATAAATTAGTAAAAACATTACTAAAAAGGGGCAATTTTTTACACTAGGCACATACTTATGTTGCTGTTTCTTTAAATTTCTTAAGTTGCTATTTGGACTTTTTTTCTTACTGTGTAACTCTAGGAGGCTAGTGAATGATAGTGCCCTACTGAAGGAAGCAAAGTACTCCGGTGTTGGGGAAATACCTACAGCTGTCCCCCCAGCTTCAAGACAGGTGGGGAGTGACTGGGAGAGGGAAGAACTCTCTCAGCTCTTCTACTTTAGGATCCATTGCTAATATAACACTAAAAGCTTGGTTCCTGAGGAGCCAAAGATCAATGAGTTGTGCTGATCTGTTCCTCATTCTCCTTCCCATTGTCTCCTATGTTCTAAAAAATGGTTCAAGTTTCTTTAGAGAGTGACTGATGCCCATCCTTTGTATAACAACTTGGAGAAGAACCAACCTTAAAAAACAAACTCCAGAATTGTATTCTTTATTTTTACCCCTTAGACCAGGGATGGCCAAACTGCGGCCCTCCAGCTGTGGTGGAACTACGAATCCCATGAGGCTTTGCAAAATTCTCACAGCCACAGACATGACTGCCGGAGAGAGATGCTTCATGGGATTTGTAGTTTCACCACAGCTGAAGGGCCGGAGTTTGGTCATCCCTGCCCTAGACAAAATGAGCACTTAACCATTCTTTTTTACATGGGTGTTATTGGAACATTTCAGCTATGTATGACCTCTTTTGGTAATTACCTGTCACCCACAGGATGTAGAGCATTGTACTAATATTTACATATAAGAAACTTACATGTCTCCATGGACCAGTCCATAAATGTCAGTCATACTTTTATGATAGAGGCTTTTAAGGATGACCAAGTGCAGGACAACAACAACAGCAGGAAGTCCCCATCCAAGCATAAAGAAGATCAAATGGCGCCTCTCTGCATGTTCATCATTTATCACAAGAGTATACCAGAAGTTTACTGCCTGAAAAATAACACAGATATTACAATTATATTTAAACTTTTGCAACATTTATATATACATTTTATCAAAGTATTCTGTCCTCTTTAAACAAACAAAAGATCACCACAAAATCCTCTTTACACAGTGATATATAAAAATCCATATCACATAATAAATCTGAAAATCAGTGATGGGAGTGGAGCCATAATGAAAGAAGTTTTAAGAGTAAAAGTCATGTGTCATCACAACCGTTTTAGTACATCAGGCTGAATATTTTTATATTTCTTGACTTACCAGAATACTCCTCTACAAAAATTGCAACGCTGTACTGAAATTAATTTTATACAATTTTTTTGGGACAGATAGAGCTTTCTTTTGGTGGTATTTAATCACCACTGGGGTTTTTATTTTTTACTATATTCAGGAGAAATTACTGAAAATTTTTAGTATATAAAAACAACTAATATTACCCACTTTTTTTGTAAAATATAAAAGACGGGGTCATGTCGGGTAAATAGACACCAAACATGTCAAGCTTAAAAACTGCGGGCACCCGCGACATCGCAGAAAACTACCATACCCAAAATTGGCCATAGGCGACGCTGTAAAAGCTTTCACAGCTCATCAGTTTAGTGTTATCAGTGATTGATGACCCTAAAATTATTGCTCTTACTGCGACGTTTGCGGCGATATGTAACATGTGCGGCGTAATGGGCGCAATCGTCGTTTTCGCAGGTATGCGCACCTGACGCATGTTTACATGCGTGTATGTAGGGGTGGGGACTTTTAAAAAAAATTTTTTTATTCTTTTTATGTGTAACTTTAAAAAAATTTGGGGAGAAACTTTACATTTTTTTCCTATTTTTTTTTTCACTTAACTTTATTGCTATCACAGAGGGGGCTAAGAAACCCCTCTATGTGATAGCAAAAGAGGTGACAGGTCCTCTTTATGGAGACATCAGGGGTCTCCAAGACCCCTAATGTCACCTAGGACCCCCCTAAAGAAGCTGATGAAGCAGAGATCTGCTTCATCAGCTTCTCTCCAGCATCTGAAGCTGGAGAGTGACACGAGAATGCGGAGGTGATGTAATATACATCACTTCCGCATTCTGACAGCGGAGTGGGGACCTGAGGGAGATTGTGAACTGACCTTCCTCTAATCCCCTGTGAGAGAGCCACTATGCTGGTCCCGGGCTCGCACCGGGCAAAGTGGAGCCCGGGATCAGCGTGACAGCGGGAGGGGGGGGGCACCGAGGGGGGGGGGCACACACATATCGGGACCCCATACAAGCTCTATAGCCGGCAGATCGCTTGTATGTTAACAGGCATCGCTGCCGGTTTTTAAATTATGCGTCTTTCCCGCTCGCGCGTCCGAGTGTGCGGGAGCAACAGGACGTGTATACATGCCCAGTTACATCCAAGAAGCTCCCGCCCGGCCGTGTATACACAACGGCCGGGAGGTAGTTAAGGAGACCCTCCTTTGCTGCAGGCTGTGTTTTGTTTTTTTAAAGTACTTCTTTCCTCGTTTTCTAGTGTGTCCCCGCCATGCTCTTCCCCCCGCCCCCTGCACGGGTGCCACCATCGTTCTAATGGAGGCACCCGTGCGCACTCGTCCCCGCAGCGGCTGTGTGCGTCCATAGACACACACAGCCCTGTGGCAGGCCACGCCCCTTCATTCTTTGATTGATGGCAGAAGAGCCTATGGCTCCTCTGCCATCAGTATCCTCCCGGAAGGGGGCTTGGGGTAAAAAAAAAGGCAGAGAATGCATTAAGGTAAAAAACGTCCAGACCTTAATACTACTTTAATAAGATACATTGTAAGCAGGGCAATATCACCCTTCTTTTTTATGATCTCACTAATCTGGCTACCTCTGGTCCCATAACACAATATATTTCTAGGATATGATAATATTTTACTGCTGCACAAGACAACGTGACATGATAAAACAAAAAGCACTGTTCAGCTTCCTGAGATTGCTCTATGTTTCTGACTTGTTTGTCTACCCGAATTCATACGCAATCAAAGTAGCTTGGATGACTTTTAAATTAAAAAAAATCTAAAAATAAAGGATTTACTGTGAATTCATGAAGAATGCAGAAGTCACTTGTACATACTTGCCATATGTTGTATACACACTACAGATATGACAAATACTTTACAGCTTCAACAATCAAACATTTTGCTGTTGATTTTATTCCACATTCCACGGAAACTCTGCTAAACTCTCTTACGTAACAGGGTTTCTGCAGCATTGAGTAAAAGAATATTTAATCTGGTCTTAAATGCCTCCTGAAAAATAACAATGTATTTCCTGAGCCTAGGCACTCCTGTGCCTTATAGCTGTATATCTGAAGTGAAATTATCTAAAGCACTGCTGCCTCTGTTTGCTAGTTCCGCAAGATTTGGATTGAGATTTGGGGGTTGATTTACTAACCTTATAAACACACCACGAACATGTATACACCTCTGTAGTGTGTTCCCTCCCAGCATGATCTATGGGTGGAATCTAAACACCTTTGTAGTGTGTACACACCCAGCAGGTGTGCTGTGCAAAGCCAAGCATGAATTGCAAGGTGATTTTGTGTAAATTAGCTCTATGTTGTGTTGCTTGCGTTGATGAATGCAGGAATGTAAATGCATGAGCTAACCATTTTTGTCTAAACTGTGAAGCAGCATTATATATGCATCATGTGCATGATTTTTCCATATATGGCATTAGTGGAAATATGCTTTTAGAGACTTTTTGGTTGATAAATACGTTTTGCTGTGTGAAAATCACACGCACCTGGTGCGTGCGTGTGTTTAGGTTAGTAAATCACCCCCTTGGTGTCACTATTGTATTGCTTAATGTTCTCCTTGCTGAAGAGAAAGCTGTACCTGAAGACTTGCAGTCAAAGGCTGTCCCATCTTATACACCATTTATATTGTCAATCTGTGTTCCTCCACCTCATCTGATGCTTATTCATCATTACCTCATCAGTCATCATATCAAAGGTCAACAGATGACAGTGCTGTCACCAGGAAGCAAAACCTTGCTCCCTACCACATTGGCCACCTCCACAGAGACAGAGTGTAGAACAAGGCATGGTAAATCAGTAATGGGGAAAATATCAGCAGCAGAGAGCCTACAGGCAATACTGGTGGCCACAGAATCACAGTTCTGGTCCTTTGTAAAGCAAACCAGTACTAATAGAAACATTCTGAAAGTTTTAGTTCTTCCCTGTCATGCTGTTCTTCTAGCTTCAATAGCTGGTGGTTGAGTCAACCTGTTTGCAGCCAACTAAAACACTGGTTCAGGGTGGACTGTGCCTTGCAAACTTACTTTTTCACATCTTAACATGATTCTGCCTTATAGGAAAATGCATACATGTAAAATGAAAATCTCCTTTAAACCAAACCTGTCTTATTTAGGGTTAAGCAACAGGTTTGCTTGAATCCCCTTTGCTTCTGTTGTCTGGATAAATCATTATACATCCAGTTTGTACACGGTCCTTGTGTTGCTGAATCCCATAGCAGTTCTATGCAGCGGTGTATTTAACATTGGTGCTGCCCTAGGCAATACAGCAACGCCGTACAAAAGGTCCGCCCTCAGCGAATCTGCCGCTCCAGGCAAACGCCTTGTTTGCCTCGCAGCAGATACGCCCCTGGTTCTATGACTATCAGGGTTAGTCACAGAAGGGTGAAGAGTTTGCAGAAGGCAGGAGAAGTGAACAATCTAGGACAACATAACTGAACTGGAAAGTGAGCTGAATTGGAGAACTTTTCCAAATCACTTATTTTGGCCTAGATTGTTCACTACTCCTGTCTTCTCCAAACTCTTCACCCTTTTGTGAATAACAATGTAAGACTACAGTTATATATTTGCTTAATTACACTAACAACATTTTTTCCAATATAGGTTTTCACAATCATTCTATGTTAGGCCCATTATGTAGAGATCACAATGCTTTAATCGATACAGCTTATCAGTTTAAACTATGTGTGACCTGTTAATGAGTGTCATTTCAATGGACAATTAACTAAACCACCTAAATGACATTTAATCTCAGCAAATATAATCATCCTGGATATGTAATTGAGTGCTTTCTGTCATATAACCGATACAGTGACTTCTGAGAATTAAACAGACACAGGTATGGCTTTTCTTATAGTCTACGCAACCAAGATTGAACATCATTTAAGCAGAAAATGTTTCAATAACAGAATATAGTGATAAAATGCTATCATGGCTAAACACAATTATGAATATAAATACAAAATATTAAAAAATGAATGTAAAAAAAGTTTATTAAAAAGGGTTTAGTCAATACACAGGTCACGGAGCACAATACTCATAGTAACCAATCACTCATAACAACATATAAAAAATGTCACTTGACTAAGTACAAACCAGTACGTACATTTCTATTGGTTGCTCCGGATGCTGGACTTAATGCAGCCTACTTCTACACAGTGAACCAAATACATTATGACATGAATTAAAAGTATACTTTTATAAGTCAATTACTACATTGTCACTTATAAAACTAATTATGTATGTGACAACATATAATGAGGATGTGTGTCATCTACAGTCCCCATGGCTGTGCCATCCTTTTAGATCTTTAACAGTGTCCGATATTAATGGGTGTAGTATAAATAATCAGTCTGTACAGTTCACTAACAGAATAGAACATGATACTTTTCCAGCAATCATTAATGGCTATCTCTATCATAAAGGGATCATATGTACTTGCCTAATGTAGACTTTGGGGTTGATGTCCTAATGAAATAGAGACTTAATATTTGTTAACAGTCTGCAATTTATTTTCAAAGCTGACAGTAAGTATTGTATAAATGAGTATATCTTTCAAAATAAATCCTATAATGTATGATTACCTTACCTGAGCTTTGCCTGTGCGGGACACAGCAACTAGTTCATTTTAATGCAGACTTCCAGAGAGCCATATACAATATTTACTTTCCATTTGCTCCCATGCCATCTGCACACCTGCTATGAGTGTAAGGAAATCCCTGTGTA